CTCCCTTTGATGTCGGCAGGGGAGCGTCCAGACTATCGCGCTGAGCCGACAAACAGCTGATCAGCTGTTTGTCGGCTCAATGCGGCAGCCATGTAAATTTAAATGAAGCGGCGATTATTTAAATCGCCGCTTCATTTTACTCTGTCGGGTAACCTAATCTACATGCCTCTGTCGCCAGAGGCATGTAGTCTAGACGTACCCTTAGATTGTCCCAGCAAGGAAAGAGGGTTGAAAACGAGCCCTGATGTTTCTCCGCCCACCTGCTCTGCTCCTACCTGCTCCACGCCCAGGGGGTGAGCACGCCAGCCCCCGACCTGGGTGCATAACCCGGGTGTATCTGCTGGGGCCCGCTGCCCTTTGGCCATACACCGTCCCCCTCCAGACAGCAAGGCGTGTGGGGCGGGGTACCTACCGTCCGCCACGGCCACAGGCACCAGCAGAGAGCACAGGACGATCAGTGCGGTTTCCATGGCCACTAGAAAAGAGGAGGAGAGGAGTCACGCTTCAGCCGAGGCAGCGAGGACAAAGCAGCAGAGCGGGGGCAAGCAGCAAAGGGCCGTCTCGGGTTCCCCAGACTCACTCCAGCAGGCCCGACAGCCGGTGAGCCTGGACCGGAGCCAAGAGTGCGTGAACTTTCCAGAAGTTCAGAACCAGAATCCGGCTTCACTGCTCGGGTACCTCTCTGGTTTGGCCCCGCGGGTCCCCCCTCCCGGCTCCAGTGCCAGCCTGCGCACAAGGCTGCCTGGGACGGGCGGCAGTGCACCTGGCTGTGCGGAGCGGTTCCTTCCTGACCCCTGTGTCCCTGGGGGGGACACTTTCACCTCCCTGAACACTGAGCAACGCATTCCAAAGTAGCCCTCTTCTACAGCAGCGGGTGACCACTGAAACTGGGATCATGTACAAATTCAACACTATCAACTCTGCGCTGAAGAAAGACCTTCAGTGGTTCACGCACTACAAAGGCAATTTCCCAGCCTTTGACATGCGCATCTCCACATCGAACACTGTGAATGGGGCACATCCAGCCTGGCTTAATTAGCTTCATTAACACTGACCCTACAATTGACAGGTAACTCTCTTGCTGTTATATACACCCCCCAAACCCCGTTATTTCCACTCCAACTCATCTGATGAAATGGGTTGTACCCAGGAAACCTCGTGACCTAATACATTTGGTAGTCTCTACGGTGCCACAGGACTGCTCGCTGTTTTTACAGTTAGACTAATGCGGCTTCCCTCTGAGCTGCAGAGCAAGGTTGGTTTTCACATCCACTTCCACAGGGGCATTTCTACAGCTAACACGTCCTGAAGAACCATTGCTCACACATGTGTTTCTATTGGTGGTGCACATAACACATGCCTCGGTGCACATAGCAAAATGTATTCCACACGTGGAAAAAAAATTAGAGGGCACAATGGCCTCCCTCCCCTTTCACACAGCCTGGCACTTACAGGCCTGTCTCAAAGCCCAGTGCAGTCACTGGGCCCTGGACCAAACGCTGATCTGGAGCTATGGAAAAGCGGTTTGCCGTGCGCTGAGATCGGCTGTGCTCCGACGGGGATTGTAGCACATTCTCTTCTTGCACCCAAGGGAGGCAGGCGGAACAGACTGACCCCGCTCACGCCACAGGGAGCCCGGAAGAGCATCTCGACTCGGCTCGAGATTCCACACCCCGTTTCTTTGACTGGCTTGGAAGAGGGGGATCGGTTTGGCGGGGAGCCCTGAGCTGGCTAATCCACGCAGCGCTGCGGCCCGGGCAAAGCAGCAATTGCCAGTCGCTGCTGCTCTGTGGACGGCTTGAAGTGGAGCACAGAGCGCCTGGGGAAGGGCAGCAGGACGGCCTTCTCCACTCCTCCCCGCTGGGCGGGCGATGGCCGCTCTCCTCCCCGGGGCAGCGGCTGCCTGCACCGTGCGCACACCCACATGCCTCCCACCGGAGGGGCAGGCTGGTAGCTTTGCAGAGGGAGGCTCCATCTGGGGGGACGAGCTCGAAGGCTCCCGAGAAGGGCGCTGGCTTGGGGGCTGCAGCTGCCCACCGCTCTCCCTCTCAAGGCCTTCTGCTTGTTTATCGGCTTTGCTGCCGGCGACTGCCGTAAATGCTCGGTCAGCCCCAGGCTCTGCAGACCATCCGGGGGCGGGAATCTCACTAGCCCGGGATGTTCAGAATGGAGCAGCTTCCAACAGCAGCAGCATCTCCTGCCAGGGGTCAGAGCAGCCTCCCCTGTAAGCTCTGCACTCGGGAGAGACTCAGGGGTCTCAGCCAGTTAGCCCATAGCCGGCAGCAGGTGTTTCTCCGGGTGGTGCACACCCCTCAGTGCACACAACATTTACTCTGTCCGTGGGTGCAAACCTGGAGGGAACGTTGGTCAGACCCAACTCCGGCCGCCAGCTGATGGGAGCAGCCGCTTGGTGAGACTGACGCACAATCACAAGAACCATCCAAGTTGTCACAGGGACAGGCACTCCAGTCAGAGCGCTCCTCTTTCCTGCTGTCACCGCTTGCTCCTCCTGCCCCTGCCCGTTCGCGCTCTGGGTGTGTCTAGACTACAGGGTTTTGTCGACAAAACTATACCTGCGTCCACACTGCCTTTGAGTTATGTCGACATAACGTCCACAAAACTCAGCAGTTTTGTCGACGTATGTAAACCTCATTCTACGAGGAATAACGCCTTGTCGACAGAGTTCTGTCCAGAGAAGGCGTTATTGCATCTACACTGTCCTTTGCGTCCACACTGTTATGTCGACAAAGCGGCTTGCTTTGTCGACAGAACTGGATGCAGTCTAGACGCTCTTTGTAAACAGAAGATTTGTCAACAGTATCTGTCAACACTTCTGTCGACAAAACCTTGTAGTCTAGACCTACCCTCTGTGACTAGGAACACGGCTGCCTTGGCTAGCAAATGCAACCCAGAGACTGCCAGGTGTGGGTGAGAAAGGGGCCTCCCAGGCATTGAACTCAGGGAGGACACACAAGTCGGGCTGGGCTAGGTGCTGCCGGTGCGCTGGCTGCCAGGAGGTCTGTGTGACACAAGCCTGGTGAGTTTCAAAGCACTGGGGCTTTGTCCCTGTTGTCAATCTCGGCCAAGGCGTGCCCGGCCCCTAGGAACTGGGCTCTGCTTTGCTTCCAGGACCCAGGCCTGCAGGGCCGGGTGCCTGGACCAGCACCTGGCTTCTGGCCTTCATTAAGGCCTGCAAAGGACTGCATGGAATCCCACTGCATCCACCAGCACTCCGCACAGGAGGGGGGCCAGCCTGCTGAGACCCCACCACACGATCAGGGCCCCGGCTTGTCAGCAGTTTGGAGCCAGGATTTCGGGCGAGTGTAAGTGGGCAATGGAGTCTGTCCCGGGATTTATTCTCCGTGCCGTGAAAGTTCAGTGCACATTGTCAGAGCTGTCCCCATTTTTCATAACGGGCCACCTCCCTTCGCGAGCGAGATCTTCTCTGTGCCTTGTCATTTTGCAATGGACCCATTCCATCCGAACAGGCTTTGGTTTCATTTCCCTCCCTGCCGCAGGCTCCAGGTTCTGTGCGTTCGAGAGTGCGGCAGAACGTGGGGCTCCTTTGGTACAGCGTGCCCCCACGATTATCTGTCTAGGGTGAGTCACAGCATGTCATGCGATGACTGAGTTAAAAAAATCACCAAGCGAGCCCAACAGCTGACGATCCAGTAACTTGCGGGGTTGTTTTCTGTAGATGAGATGGCTGGTAAGTCAACAAGAGACATTACAAATATCCAGTACTGCTCTGAGCGGAGCGTGGGAAATGCTGAATTCAAAATGCACAGTGCACAGTGTGCAAAACACTTTGGACTGTCTTTAAAACACATGGGCTGCAGCCACTTTTGCGGAAAAACTTGCCAGCTGTCTCCACTGGCCGCTTTGAATCTGCGCAAGAGCACTGACGATCTCATGTAAGATTGTCAGTGTCCTTCCGCAAATACAATGACTCTCCTGTTCGGGAAAAAGCCCATTTGCGCAAGAGGGCCAGTGTAGACAACTGAGAACCGTTTTGCACAAAGTGCCCCGATGGCGAAAATGGCGATCGGGGATTTCTTGCGCAAAACCGCGTCTAGATTGGCACGGACGCTTTTCCACAAAAATTGCTTTGGCACAAAAGCGTCCGTGCCAATCTAGATGCTCTTTTCCACAAATGCTTTTAATGGAAAAACTTTTCCGTTAAAAGCATTTGTGGAAAATCCTGCCAGTCTAGATGCAGCCATGTTGATTGGTGAGAGTCAAAACGCGAGCTGAATGAATTGTGTTCATTGAGTCTTAGGTTCTATTAATAACGCCATTGTTTGTACAATAAATTATTCATCCGATACATTTTTTGCATGATTTGACTCTCTCTGTAGCTGGATCATGCTCACTGAACGGCACAGCCTCTCAACGATGTTACACACCGACTCTATTATCCGACATACTACGGCTGGGACATACCCCGCACCAGCGGGCCCCCCAGGAATACACCAGCCTGACTCCACGGAAATCAGTGCAACCTGATTTGCATCTGCACTACGGCCACGCCCCCTTGGGCACCAATGCAGCCTTCGTATAACGCACATCAGGCCCCAAGCAGCTCACCCAAGTTGCAACTGCAGACTCGGGCCCAGGCACTGCTGTGACATCACTTGTCACGAACTCTATTCCGGCCTGTAATCACCCAGCTCTGCAGACAAGCCCCGCCCACCTTCAGGGCGCTCGCCATGCAGGAGGAAGCAAGGGAAGAGGCTTCAACCAGGCTGCACCATTCTGAGTCAACTCACAGCCACGAGTCCCACGGGGGATGGCCCAGTGCCGCCCCTCGCACCCCGCGGCTGGGGCTGCCAGGACTGACCCAGACAGTCCGGTAAAGTCTCCCCCGCCCTTCCGGCGCACGGCCCTGAGATCCGCCTTGGCGAGCTGCGGCCGGCAGGGAGCCCGCCTGAGGGTGTTGGCGAGGCGAGCCGCAGGCCGGGTCTTGCCTACCCCTGCTCGAAATGCTCCTATGCGGATAGCTCCTCAATCGCCCCACAAGGCAACGTTTTCCATTTCACCAACCCCTTAGCTCAGCACTTGCAGTGACCAGCCTGTTGCACAAAGTCCACTGGCCTGCAACCTCCCGGCCCTGCCCGGCCTCCACTGGCTTCTCAAAAGGAGGGAAACGCTGTTCAAACTTGAACCACTAAGGCTTAGTGCCCACTGACAGAGCCCTGGGCAGGTACAACATCCATAGCCGCAAACAAGGGCCACAGATCCACGTCCGTGGAGAGCCACAAATTTGCAGGGCTCTCCTCCTAGATATTTTCTACTCTTCAAAGCCCTTTGCAAATATTCACCGTAAGCCATTTTCAGATGCAGACTGTGCACGGGCAAGTGAGCACCCGGCGATGGTTAAAGGCATGCCCACACATTCCCCGAGCGCGTACACGAGCCACACGCCACGTACCTCACGCTGCCGAATGTCTCCGGAGTAACCCCAGCGAAAGAGCTTCCCAGTGCTACAAACTGCAGAGGCGGCTTGTATAATGAGTCCTGCTGATTAGGAAGGGTGTTAAATTGCATTTCATCAGTTAATCGAGTAATCAATGGAATTGCCATCGACTACTCGATAAGTCGACAAGGGGGAAACTGCAGAGTAAATGTAGTAAGATCTGCCTGGTCCCAGACGCTGGTTGCTTTACTACATTTAAAAAACAGAGGTTCAGTGTCTGGGAGCCAGAACTGCTCAGTCACAGCTTGCACCCAGTCCCCGCTGCACCTCTGCCTCCCCCGCCCCCCACGGAGACGGTGCCAGGGGAGCAGGCTTCTGACAGAGGCAGCAAAGGATGGGGAGAAGCAACTAGCTGAGTAGTGACCCGAGCCACCGATAAGCTTCCTGGGTTGTCGCCCACCTGACTAGTCGCTTATGTCCCTACTGATTAGCACCGTCAGGAGCAAACCTCCACTTGCCAGCATGGATATTTGTCTCACTCTGGCTTTTCTGGGCCTGGCGTGATCTTTTGCACTGGAAGTACCTGTGAATTGACGGAGTGTTCCCACGCCCGTTCCCAGCCTTTCCTTCCCACCGGCCCTAAGGCTCACCGCACCTCACCACCGAGCTCCAGTCTCTCGCCAAAAGCCCCGGCACGTTTTCTATTTCAGGGATTTGCAATTTGCACCCGGCCTCCTAATTTTCACATTCCCCAGCGCTAGTGAGGCGAGGGAGAGCTCAGCCGGGCGTTACCACTCCTCCCTCTCCGGAAGCACTGGGGGGCCGTGGGAAGGTACTCCGGGTTCGCACTCAGAGCAGCCAGCTCCCCTGCTGCCCAAGGGCCCGATCCCAGGCTCACTGAAGTCAGGTGGGCAAAACCTGGGTGGAATTTGGCCCGTGGTTTGAGGCGGGTTTTCGCCTTAGTGGATGCCGGGGGGAAGGGCTGGATGGGAGGAGGCAAAGGAGACACATCAGAGCCGTTATTTCAGTCTGCAAACCAGCCAGCGGCTCGGAGGAACGGGATCGCTGGTCCCCGCAGCTGGAAAGTAACCGAGGGCAAGTGACAGGCCCTTTAAAACCAGCAGATATGGGCAAGCACCTCGGCACCAAGCTCCGCCAGCAACAGGCAGCAAAATGAGAGAGAGGGGACAGGACCGAAAAGATAACAAGACCACAGGGGAGGCCACAGCCTGGCCCACAAACTGCCACCACCAGGCAGATCCTAGCTCTCCATCCTCCAGCCCCATCACCAAGAGTCCCAGCATTGCTTGTGGGACTCTTGCACAGCCGGGGCCCAGGCTGGGGACCGTGCTGGCAGCCAGCGGGCGAAGGGACCCAGCACTAGGCAGCTGAGCGAGGTTAGCGGGCAGGGCCAGAAATGGAGGTGTCGGAAAGGTGGCTCCTACCCTCCCACAAAGGCAGAGATCATCAGGCTGCTGCAGCCTCAGCCAGGGCAGGATGCCACAGGCACGCAAGCTGTGCTGTGTCGTGCCGTGCCGTGGAGCCGGGCATGCCACGTCACAGAGCCACGCCGGGAAGCCATGTGTGCCGCACCAGGGAGCTGTGCATACCACGCCGGGGAGCCGTGGCGTGGAGGTGTGGTGGAGCTGTGCATGCCACGCCAGGGAGCCATGCATGGCGCACCGGAGAACCGTGGTGTGGAGGTGTGGTGGAGCCGTGTGTGCCACACCAGGGAGCCATGCATGGCATGCCGGGGAGCCGTGGCGTGCAGGTGTGGTGGAGCAATGCATGGTGCGCCACACCGGGGAGCTACACCTCCACACTCTTAGGAGCAAGCGAGGGAGGCCGGTGAAGCGGCTTCGTATCCAGCAGCGAACAAGGCCCCGGGGCAGGACAGAGACAGGAGGACAAGGGGGAGATTACATTGCAGGACACTGGACCCAACGTGGACCCTCGGGACACAGGCTGCTGGTTTATGCCTCAGCCCCCAGCCTTCCGGTGCCTGCAGCGCGGGTGAGAAGCCCGAGCTGGGGGTCGGGCTCTGAGAGGAGGGCGAGGGAGCAGGCAGGGGAGAGGACGGGGACGTATCAGGGAAAGGGGAAGATTTCCATGCCCCAAGCAGAAGATCTGGCGCAAGGTACCGAGCTTGGCAGTGGCTGGAGCTCTCACAGGGTAAGCGCCTGTCCCTGGGGCAACCGCCCCTACACTGACCTAATGAACACTTCACGTGCTGCTGCCCAAACACACTACTGACTGACTGTCCACTCAGCCACGCTCACAGTGCTGCACGGCAGCCTCTCCGCACGCAAACGCCACCGATCCAGGAGCTTGAGACTAGCTGTCGAGGGGGATTTCTGAGCTACACCTGCTCCAGCAGCGCAGCCAGCAGACCGGTAGGGTAAAGGGGCGTGGCAGCACGAAGCTGGAGTGCTGTGCGCTGACAGGGTAATGGAGCATGGAGCGTGGAGCTGGAGCGCTGTGCGCTGACAGGGTGGTGGAGCGTGGCAGCATGGAGCCGGAGTGCTGTGCGCTGACAGGGTAGCGGAGCGTGGCAGCATGGAGCCGGAACACTGTGCGCTGACAGGGTAGCGGAGCGTGGCAGCATGGAGCCGGAACACTGTGCGCTGACAGGGTAGCGGAGCGTGGCAGCATGGAGCCGGAACACTGTGCGCTGACAGGGTAGCGGAGCGTGGCAGCATGGAGCCGGAACACTGTGCGCTGACAGGGTAGCGGAGCGTGGCAGCATGGAGCCGGAACGCTGTGCGCTGACAGGGTAGCGGAGCATGGTAGCATGGAGCCAGAACACTGTGCGCTGACAGTGTAGCGGAGCGTGGCAGCATGGAGCCGGAGCGCTGTGCGCCGACAGGGTAGCGGAGCGTGGCAGCATGGAGCTAGAGCCGGAGCGCTGTGCGCCGACAGGGTAGCGGAGCGTGGCAGCATGGAGCTAGAGCCGGAGCGCTGTGCGCCGACAGGGTAGCGGAGCGTGGCAGCATGGAGCTAGAGCCGGAGCGCTGTGCGCCGACAGGGTAGCGGAGCGTGGCAGCATGGAGCTAGAGCCGGAGCGCTGTGCGCCGACAGGGTAGCGGAGCGTGGCAGCATGGAGCTAGAGCCGGAGCGCTGTGCGCCGACAGGGTAGCGGAGCATGGCAGCATGGCAGCCCGGAGCCGGAGTGCTGCGCGCTGACAGGGTAGCGGAGCGTGGCAGTATGAAGCTGGAGCCGGAGCGCTGTGCGCTGACAGGGTGGCGGAGCGTGGCAGGACGGAGCCGGAGCGCTGTGCGCCGACAGGGTGGCGGAGCGTGGCAGGACGGAGCCGGAGCGCTGTGCGCCGACAGGGTGGCGGAGCGTGGCAGGACGGAGCCGGAGCGCTGTGCGCCGACAGGGTGGCGGAGCGTGGCAGGACGGAGCCGGAGCGCTGTGCGCCGACAGGGTGGCGGAGCGTGGCAGGACGGAGCCGGAGCGCTGTGCGCCGACAGGGTAGCGGAGCATGGCAGCATGGAGCCGGACCACTGTGCGCTGACAGGGTGGTGGAGCGTGGCAGCATGGAGCCGGAGTGCTGTGCGCTGACAGGGTAGCGGAGCGTGGCAGCATGGAGGTGGAGCCAGAGCGCTGTGCGCTGACAGGGTGGCGGAGCGTGGCAGCACGGAGCCAGAGCGCTGTGCGCCGACAGGGTAGCGGAGCGTGGCAGCACGGAGCCAGAGCGCTGTGCGCCGACAGGGTAGCGGAGCGTGGCAGCACGGAGCCAGAGCGCTGTGCGCCGACAGGGTAGCGGAGCGTGGCAGCACGGAGCCAGAGCGCTGTGCGCCGACAGGGTAGCGGAGCGTGGCAGCACGGAGCCAGAGCGCTGTGCGCCGACAGGGTAGCGGAGCGTGGCAGCACGGAGCCAGAGCGCTGTGCGCCGACAGGGTAGCGGAGCGTGGCAGCACGGAGCCAGAGCGCTGTGCGCCGACAGGGTAGCGGAGCGTGGCAGCACGGAGCCAGAGCGCTGTGCGCCGACAGGGTAGCGGAGCGTGGCAGCACGGAGCCAGAGCGCTGTGCGCCGACAGGGTAGCGGAGCGTGGCAGCACGGAGCCAGAGCGCTGTGCGCCGACAGGGTAGCGGAGCGTGGCAGCACGGAGCCAGAGCGCTGTGCGCCGACAGGGTAGCGGAGCGTGGCAGCACGGAGCCAGAGCGCTGTGCGCCGACAGGGTAGCGGAGCGTGGCAGCACGGAGCCAGAGCGCTGTGCGCCGACAGGGTAGCGGAGCGTGGCAGCCTGCCCGGGGGGACGCAGGGGATCTAAGCGACAGGGTTCCGTGCTGATCATTTTTCCACTTGACTCTTCAGAAGTCTGAAGTTTATCTTGAAAAAGAACCCTGCAACCTGACTACCTAGTTCGAGCATCGTGTAGCCGCGCTGCACGGGGTTCGAATCAGCGGGGTTTTAAAAATGGCAGCGCCCTGCTTATGCAAATGAAGCCCGGGAAATTCAAATCCCGGCCTTCATTTGCAAGTGTGGTATGCCTACATTACCCTCCTAGTTGGAACTAGCGGGGCAGTGTAGACATACCCACAGAGTCACTCCAGAGCCGCAGACAGGAGGAGTCCCATACAACATAGAGCAAGACAGTGAGTAGAGCCCCCGCTACCGCACACAGGCCAAGCCCACAGCCCGTTCTCTCTGGTTTCACTCGGTCCTAGCTCAGGCCACGCCCCAGGCGCTGCCTGTAAACCCTGCGAAAAGGCTTCGGAAAGGTTCTTACTGACGCCAGCCTGCTCCCGGGCGTGAGCAATGGGCACATCCTGGGCGAATACCAGCCTACAGCAGCGTCTCCCCGCTCCGAGCTCACTGCAGCCAGGAGGGAGGGAGAAGACCGTTCTGGTCTAAGCCAGTGGTTCTCAGCTCGTTTCAGTCCACGGACCACCAGGCCAATCGAAAACAGTCCGCGGCCCACCGCCAGCACACGTAGCACCGGTCGACCGACGCAGCCACCGCTCAGCGCGACGGCGGCAGCTACACTGACGCTCAGAGCCCAGACGGACGTTACTGGCAACACAACGCGCTTGTGTCCCAGGTGACGCTATGGCTGACGCGCCGCGTGCGTGTGAACACGGCATAGAACAGCCTCACGGCGGCGCCAGCTCACACCGTGGGACTTGGACAATGTTTCTGTGGACCCCCGAAGTCTAAGCAAAGTGCACTTTGTCCTGCGCCCGAGGAGCAGCTGGACTCCCTGCGCCAGCCTGGACAAGGGATCTAAGCAACTGCTAGACTATCCAATAAGCCGAGGCTCATGGGGTAGTCCAAGTCAACTAGTCGCTGCCCTGCAACAGAGGCACCAAGGGGGGCAGCAGGAGCCAGTGCTGGGGGGACCAGCTTAAAAGCCGGCTCCCTGCAGCACCGTCTCCGTGGGGGGGCGGAGGCGCAGCAGCGAACCCGCGCTAATGGGGAACGCAGTGGTCCCACTGGTGCGGGGTCCCCGCTGCTGCGCCTCCGCCACGGGCGGCTCTTGTACTTTTCAAAGGCTGCGGCGCAGAGGAGCCCCCTCCCGTCGACTACTCGATTAGCCAATTAATCGACATTTAACATCCCTAGTCTGGACGGGCTCTGACAAACAGGAAACACCGTTTTCGGGGTTTTTTTTTTGGTGCCTCTTCTCTCCATTCGGTTCTTGGAGGTTTTGTGCCAGCAGAGTTGTTTCCTTTTTCCATTCAATTTAGCAAACGAGGTCTTTTCCCATCGAAGCCCAAGTGAGAATCGGAAAGTCAACGTCAGACCAAGCCAGCTGCAGAACTGTCACGGTTCTCACTCGCGACAGAACAGCATCGGTTTGGGGTGAGAAAAGAGCCCGTTTCTCTCTCAAATGGGCATGGCTGCATGAAATGTCAAAGGCTTTTCATACAAGCGACTAACAACTGGTTTCGTGAGCCTGAAATGAAAGGGGAAAAGCAAAAATGTCAGCAGCTGCACCCCCCCTTTTCCACAGCACTGCTGCCCTGCACAGCCAGTGTGGGCCCTCGAGCAAAGTGGGGAGAGGGCAGGCTCCACACTCCCAGAAGGGGCGGGGCCACTAGTGGAAGGGGCGGAGCTGCTCGTGAAAGGGGCGGAGCAGCCAGCTTCCTGCACCCGCAACGCCTAGAGCCACATGAAGCACATGGCACGGTGCTCTGGTGGTGATTTAAGGGACCCACAGCTGGCCTCTTCGAATCACCAGGCCTGGGGACAATGTCCCCCTTTGCCCCCTGTGTCAGTGGGCCTGGCCCTGCACTCCCTTGCGCCTTTAGTGTGAGCTAGCCGAGCGGTTGTTATTTGCTGGCTGCTGGGCACCCATTGTCCAGGCATCCTGGCAGCCGGGCACTGTGTGAGTCAGAACAACAGCTGCAGGAGTGGCTGTGTTCTCTCAGGCAGATCTGCGCCGTCTGTCACTGGGCTCCACACGCCAACCTACGTTTAACAAACACCGATGGTAAATGTTTGTCCCCGCAGAACCGCTCCATCTGCGACCACCAGCACCACTAACACACGTGCACACAGATCCCCGCCCGGCAGCTCCCTCTGACTTGAATCAAAACACGAGTTCCCCCTGGTCTCCTTTCCCGCATACCGAGAGCCAGATGCAATTAGCAAAACCCCATTCGCTTCTTCCACTGTCATCATCATGGGAACAGCCAGTAAGTCAGTCGTGTGCCTGGACAGGTATGTGCTTGTGATCATTTTGCAAGCTGGGCTACACACGTGCACATGCGTGTAAACACACATGCAGGCACCCGCACCAGGATTCTGATGCTATCCCAATGGATTAGCCACCTAAACACCTTGATATGCTAGTTGTCTATGCTGTGATTCTTGCTTCCTCTGACTATCCACAAGGCAGGAGGTAAGAGCGCACGAGGCATTTGAGAGAGAAAATTCCTGGGCCAAGGCAAAAGGCAGCTTGGGATCACAAGGTCACTTGTCCTGGCGAAGAGCAGGGATGTAAAACCCCGTTAATCAGTTAACTGGTTAGGTGTTAGATCAACCGAACGTTTGACCAGTGAACCGACTAAGCGGGATCCCGGTGGGGGACTGCTCACGCCCAGTTAACCTTTCACATCTCTAGTGGAGGAAAGGACAGAGGATGACAAAATAAGGGGAAGATCTGATGCAAACAGTCAAATGAAAGAGTCCCGTTCACTCACATCCTGCAATAGCACCCAGCTAAAGAGGGACACATCTTTCAAGTGTGATATACAACGCCAGAAGTCTAAATAATGAGGTAGGTGAACTAGCGTGCGTCATACTGCAGAAGGATATTGATATAACAGGCATCACAGAAACCTGGTGGAATGAGGACACTCAATGGGACACAGTCATACCAGGGTACAAAATACATCAGACGGGCAGAACAGGTCGTGCGGGTGGGGAGGGGCACTATACGTGAAAGAAAAATGTAGAATCAAATGAACCAAAAATCATAATAATCTGTGGAGCTCCACCTCTCTCCTAGAGCAGGAAGGGACCTCGAGAGTCATCGAGTCCAGTCCCCTGCCCTCATGGCAGGACCAAGCACCTTCCCTGACAGATTTGCGTCAGATCCCTAAATGCCACCCCCCCAAGACTGCACTCACAACCCTGGCTTTGGCAGGCCAATGCTCAAACCACTGAGCAATCCCTCCACCCCAAAATGTTCCATAGAATCACGATGGGTAGTAATTCCACGCTCCAATCATAAGAATCTGGCAGCAGGGATATATGACAGACCACCTGACCAGGATAGCCACAGTGACTGTGAGATGCTAGGGGAGATCAAAGAGGCTATGAAATTAAAAGACTCGATAATAGTGGGGGATTTCCACGCTCTCCATACTCGCTGGGAACACGTCACCTCAGGACGGGATGCAGAGAACATTTCTTGATACCTTAAATGGCTGCTTCTTAGAGCAGCTGGTTCTGGAATCCGCAAGGGGAGAGGCTAGTCTTGATTTAGTCCTGAGCAGCACACAGGATCTGGTCTAAGAGGTGACTATAACTGGACCACGTGGAAATAATGGCCATAATATAAATGTAATGTCCCTGTGATGGGAAAAACCCCTCAGCAGCCCAACACTGTGGCATTCAATTTCAGAAAGGAGAACCATACAAAATTGAGGAGGTTAGTTTAACAGACATTAAAAGGTCCAAGTGAATCCCTGCAAGCTGCATGGAAACTTTTCAAAGACACCACAATAGAGGCCCAACTTACGTGTACACCCCCAAAGTAAGAAACACAGTCAGAGAACCCAAAAAAGTGCCACCGTGGCTTAACAACCCAGTAAAAGAAGCCATGAGGGATAAAGGGCATTGTTTAAAAAGTGGAAATTAAACCCTAGTGAAGAAACTAGAAAGGAGCATAAACTCTGTCAAATGAAGTGTGACAATATAATTAGGAAGGCCAACAAGGAATTTGGAGAACAGCTAGCCTAAACTTAAATAGCAAATAAATAAATAAAAACTTTAAAAATTAAGTCTGATAAGGTCATTGTGGAAAAACTAAATGAATTCTTTGCTTCTGTCTTCACGGCTAAGGACATGAGACAGATTCCCAAACTTGAGACACATTCTTTTTAGGTAACAAATTTCAGAAACTTTCCCAGACTGAGGTGTTATTACAGGAGGTTTTGGAACAAGAGAGATCTTGGAGTCATTGTGCATAGTTCTCTGAAAATATCCACTCAGTGTACAGCAGCAATCAAGAAAAGTAAACAGAATGTTTGGAATAAGAAAGGGATAGAGAATAAAGACCGAGAATATCTTATTGCTTTTATATAAATCCACAGTTTATATAAATCCAGATGTGGATCCAAAAAGGGTATTTGGCAGTGGAAAAAGTTCAGAAAAGAGCAACAAAAATGATTACAGGTATGGAACAGCTGCCATATGAGAGATTAATAATAATGAGACTTTTCAGCTAGGAAAAGAGGCAGCGAAGAGGGGATATGATAAAGGTCTATAAAATCATGGCTGGCGTGAAGAAAGTAAACAAGGAAAAGTTATTTACTTGTGTTATGGGAGCAAGAACTAGGGAGTCACCAAATGAAACTAACAGGCAGCAGGTTTAAACAAACAAAATGAAATATTTCTTCATAGAATGCAGTCAACCTGTGGAACTCCTTGCCAGGGGATGATGTGAAGTCCAAACCAATCACAGGATTGTAAAAAGAGCTAGATAAATTGATTGAGGTTAGGTCCGTCAATAGCTATTAGCCAGAATGGGCAGGAATAGTGTCCCTGGCCTCTGTCTGTCAGAGGCTGGGAATGGCTGACAGAGGAGGGATCACGTGATGATTGCCTGCTCTGTTCACTCCCTCTGGGGCACCTGGCATTAGCCACTGTGGGCAGACAGGTCACTGGGCTGGATGGACCTTTGGTCTGACCCAGTCTGGCCGTTCTCATGTTCTTATGCACATTCACAGATAAAGGCTGGAAGCATTCTACTGGCTTGGCTCTGCGTGGGGTCTGGTCCATGGGCAGACTATGGGGGTGCTTGGGGGGACAGCACCTTCCCCGAAATGCACCAGGCTACTCTGCAAACTGGGTGTAATGGAATGCCCACTGCAGCTGACTCTCAGTGGCCTTTGCATCAGGCCCTTCCATTTGCAGAGTGACACTGCAGCCAGAATTGGGACGCCTGTGCCAGTCACCAGGAGCCACTCCACTCCCGGGGACCGTTTCACTCATTTAGCGGGGGCGGCAACCTGCCTCCCGTGCGAACCCCAGTGGGAAAGCCATGCTCCTGCGCTGGGGTCAGGCCTCCAGGAAAGCTGGTGAGGGTCTGTCTACACTACCCCGCTAGTTCGAACTAGGAGGGTAATGTAGGCATAGCGCACTTGCAAATGAAGCCCGGGATTTGAATTTCCCGGGCTTCATTTGCATAAGCCGGGCGCCGCCATTTTTAAATCCCGGCTGCTTCGAACCCCGTGCCGCGCGGCACGAACTAGGTAGTTCGGACTAGGCTTCCTAGTTCGAACTACCGTTACTCCTCATTCCACGATAAGTGCGGTATGCCTACATTACCCCGCTAGTTCGAACTACCGGGTAGTGTAGACATACCCTGAGAGAGGCAGACCCACGCAGGGAAAAGAGGCCAGAACGCAGATACACGCTACCCCACCTCTCCCACGGCCACGCCCAAGGCGGGCTGGTCTCTCACCTGCATGATC